AGAATTCACGAATCTCGAAAAGGTGCTGAAAAACAACGGCTATACTCAAAAATTCATTAACAAATATGGAAGATGTGAAGGCCCAAATACCAAACAAATCACAGTCGAAAAAAAGCCTGTCTTCATTCAACTAGACTTTAAAGGTGAAGACATTGCAGAAATGGTCAACAGAAGACTGAGGACGTCACTAGCCAGAGCCTATCCTGCAGCTAAGTTGGTTCCCGTCCACCGAACAACATGCTCTTTGGTGCAGTCAAAAGTCGATAGATACCCTTCTCATGTTAACTCCAACTGTGTATACAAATTTACGTGTATCTGCGGGAGCAGTTACATTGGGAGAACAGAAAGAAGGGCACACCTCCGATTTTCTGAACATGTGCCGAAAAGCCTACGTCTCAAGGGAACAAACTCTTATAGCAGCGCTATTACCAGACATCTCCTCGACACGGGTCATGAGGTGGAAATCGAGAAATCCTTCAAAATTATCAATAGACAAAGGAGCTCCATTCTCCTCAAGTTTGCCGAAGCAATTTCTATCAAACGCTTGAAACCAGATCTATGTGTTCAGAAAGAATCAGTTATTAGTCTTTCCTTGCCTTGGTAACTGGATGTCTTTTTTTCTCCCATCTGATTGCGTAATCTTTGTCTTTAACCTCACCCTCTTTTATATTCTGTAATTTTGCTTGTCTCTTGTTTCTATGATTTGAGTTCAACTCAGTACATTGTTACCTAACTTATTAGTCACTTTGCATCTCTCATCTGATTTGTAATTTTGTCTTTAACCCACCCTCCTTTTATAATCTGTAATTTTGTTTGTCTCTTGTTTCTATGATTTGAGTTCAACTCAGTACATTGTTACCTAACTTATTAGTCACTATGCATCCAACGCACATCCCATCTTTATTATATGCATACATTTATTTATTATTATTTTTTTTTAACTTGAACTGCCTGTGTAAAAACTATATAAGCGCAATTTTCTGAGCACTGTTTACTAGTTGTGAAACTTTCTGTCAACTGACAACATGTAAAATTTGCAAGTATGTTAACACGTTTCTGTACTTAAACCTGAAAATTTATTTAGGCTGTAAGCAGCTGACGAGAAGCCAACGAAATAAATGATGGTACCATGTTATTCTGCACAAATTAATGTTGTTCTCGCTTTATTCAAGTTTATCAAGGGGAATAACTGCATCAAGTTTGGAATGTACTCTCCAGTTCGGGTAACCACCCTCCATGGCTACGCACATTCAAATCACCTAGACTTTTCACGTGAATTTCTAAATATCTTTTGAATGATTTCGGTGCTACTGAATAATGTAGCAGTAGCATAACGGTCGAATAGAGATAAAACTGCACTGAGGTTTCTTCATTCTGTAAATTTCATCGTAATAGGAAGCACTCCAATCAGTAGTAAATACTTATGGCTGACTGGTGACTATCGAAGTCCAGTAGGACATCATTCAGTTCAAATTCACTATCAGAGATGACAGAAGCATCATCAACACACATTTGCATAGAGAAAGGCCGTCAGTCATCGATTTCAACTGTCGATTTTCCACATTTGACATGAAAATGTCTACAAGTTGTGGACGTATATGTGTTCGCGGACATACTCCATCTCGCTGTCTTTACATTGGACTAATAAGTGTGACTAAGGCGCTGAAAGTGTATCGAATCTGTAGAATTTGTTTCAATCAGGATCTCGTTATTGCATCAATCAAGTTGTTGACTTCGTATAGTGTGCACACAGACCAAATTTCTCCCTGTATATGAACAAAGCAACCATTATGACTGGCATTTTCATTGCTTGGTATTGGCTGGCTAGCTGAGGTCAATATCTTTATTGTATTAATAAATTCGTCTTCACCGAATGCTATTGTTTGCAGTCCTGTAGCTCATCAGTCTGCATCGCAACTCTTGAGTCGATTGCACGCTTTTGTCTTCCGGGACAAACTTGGTTGCGACAAACTGATCTGAGTTTCTTCGTCGCTATGCTCGAATTCGAAACCAGTTTTCCATTTGAAAGTTCCATTTCCGTACACCGGATGCGCAGATACTTTGGTTGAGAATCAACTGGACAGATTGAAGCACTCGGTGTCATCAAACCGGTATCATATTTTCCATCGGCCTTTGTTTTAGTGATTGTACGCAAAATAATGCTTCCATTCGGCTATGTGCAGGTCTTCTATCTGGTTTAAATGATGCTGTATAGGATCTTGCTTATCCATTAAGAATTCAAGACGACCTATTCGCGAAGCTCAATGGTGGTAAGTGTTATACCGAAATAGCTGTTACTGATGCTTACCTTCAAATCGAAGTTGGATCGAAGCCGAGAGAGTTCCTTACCATCAACACTAATAGAGGTCTCTACGAGTTTGCTCACTTACTATCTGCTGAAAACTCGACACCCACACCGTTTTACCAAATTTTTGATAATATTCTGCTTACTAACCAACCTGGTGTGGCTGAGTACCTTGACGATGTGATAATCACAGGGAATGTTAAGTCTGAATTGTTTGGTCGACTTGACGCTAAACTATCCAAAATGTCGACGTTTGGTTTCTCTATATGACCATATCGGAGAAGCTGTCCAGAAATCCAACAAATAATAAGCTTTATTCCAAAACAGTATTTGCGAATACAGAATGGAATTCTCAGCATTTCACTACAGTATTGCATCCACTTAGTACATTATCAATAAAGAAAATTCTACATAGATTAAGGAAATATCAGTTCATCATGACTACAACTTATTAGCATATCGGCAAGGCCAAATCGAATAGTGTTTGAAGATGTTAGAAAAGTAGATTTTTGCATATATACTGGCGTAAGCGGGAGAAAGAAACAATGCAGCACATAACAGAAAAAAAGAGAGAGAGAAAAGGAAAAGAAAGAAAGAAAACGTTGTACTTATAAATGATATGAGTTGGAAAGACGAGGCCTAATTGTTCTACTGACTATTTAATAAGTTGTAGGTATCACGCCTAATGCTTTCTTTATCGCACAGAACACGAGCTAAGTATGAAACAAAATTTCCAGGCCAGATAGAACTACGTTTCTGACCGCTACCTGACAAACCATGTTTCGTGTTTATGTCACTTTCTTAGGACTGGTTAATCGTATGCACTTCTCAACATGTGCTGGTGGATTTTCTGAATGGCGTCTGAAGTGAATACAAGAGGGAGTCTAGGCTGCCTGCTATCACGATGATATTCTCAGTTCTGATGAATTGAATAACACGGAAGACTGTGCATTGAGAGTGACTGATGAGAAGGTTGTTGAAAATTCGGTCTTCTCGGACAATTTATGTCTAATGTCACACAAACTCAAAAAATCACTGCATACATTATTCAAAATAGCCGAAAACAATAAATAGCAGAACTCGGCTGAAGATGCCTTGGCTTACATGGAGAAGCATTCAGGATTATCTTGTCTTGGTGTTTCCCTAAACACTCTGAGATTATCCGTAATCATTTAGTGTGATTCAGTCTGACTCGGCGCAGAAATAATTCCAGGAAATTCGTAACAACTATGGTCTGGATGCTTATAATTAAGGAAGTCCAGAAGAAAACCAACAGACTGGTAGACGAAGCAGCAGAGACAAGAATTAGTGGGAACACAGAGAAGACCGAGGGATGGAACTAACCAACGAAGAACCACGACAACAACAACGAAAACAATCACCATCAAGGAAAGAAATTTGAAAGAGGTCACTTCCTTCACTTGCCTAGGCAACATCATTTCAACTGAAGACTGGTGAAGTTGAGGGTTTCAAAATCAAGATAGCGAAGCTAAGAGAGACGTTCATCACTCTTAGGTCACTGCACAAATCTCTCGAATTGAACGTAAAGAATAAGATTCGGATTTTCAACACCAATGTCGAGTCATTCAGTGTTTGCTGGCCCGATATTGAAGAACAAAGCAGAGGATAGAGAGAAGAGGCAAAGAGAAACTCTAGGAAGCAGCTCACCAAGAACAAACCACTCAACAAGTGTGTAGAAGAGAACTGAGATGGATCGGATATACGCTATAAAGAACATTGGATGACACCGCGCGTCATGTCAGCGCTCGAGTGGAACTCAAATGGGTAGTGACAATTGAGGCCGCTTAGGATGACATGCAAGGGATAAAACAAACACAACTGGTTGAAATGAGAGGCCTCCAGATACTCTGATCAATCAGCGGTGTACAGCGTCATGCTCACGGATTCACACTACTTTGTGAGATAATTTATTGGTCACACGTCAAATCACCACGATCATGGAGACATTGTCAACTATGCTGTTCATCATTTCCTGACAGTCTCGTCTATGCTAACAGGTAACAGTCGAAATTTTTGTCTAAATATCAATCAGTTTAGACTTATTCGAGTGTTCTGTATTGAGAAATATCGAGCAGTGTAGCCGTATATTCTGTAGAACCTCCATCGCATATTCCAGTTGAAACCAACTTTGAAGAAATAACATCAATGTAGCAAACTACGCTGGAATCAATTCGCCTGACATCATTCCTCACCAAAATGTCCTACTTCAACGAATCTCTTCCACACTCCTTCAATTCATATCTCCAGATATTGATGGTAGAAATGCAGTTGTCATTCATCTCTGCCTCATCATTTTACAAAGTTACACATTTCATCAGTGAGTAGTGAATTGTGTGAGTGTGTACGTGTGTAGGTGTGTAGATGCTGAAGCTATAGAAGAAGAGAAGACAAATCGTGATAACCACCTACAATACTGAAGCAAGATCAATACTGATTGATTAGCAAGATTGAATATTTAGCTGATACCTAATTAGCTAGAAGCAGAAAGCACAATATATCCGTAAGAGAAATAATAATAGTCACATAATTACTACAAAAGGAATTTACTTATTAATTTAGAATGAGAAGACTTCGGTGTATCAGCAGATATCTACGTGAACTTGACCTGGTTGTTTTATTTACTCATTGGTTCACAGATATGCATAATAATGTATATTGTTAACTGGCGTATACCATCTGAAGTATATTTACATTGTAGTGTATATTAAGAAACGCAGAAAATGAACGCATCTGCGAAAACTGTATTCATCTGCTTCAGTGTATGTTCTCTCATTGTCCTGAAAGATATTTCATCCCATATTTGTATTTTTTTATCACAGGTGACCATTCTCTTGTGTCATTTCAACAAATGTAAATCTACTGAAACGCGTTTGGATTGCAAGGCTAATAAGCAATTCTTAAGATGTGTCTATGAAACGAAAACTGATATTCTTAAACGTGAGTTCATTGTATTTTGCTGAAGTAAAATTGATGCACTGAGATATTTTGAATATGTTGAGTATACGTGTGTTAAGAGTGATAATTGAAGACGTAAAGAGAGTGTGGATATCTCGATGAGTTAAATCTGCAGCCACGGATTGACTAGAGGTAGGCTGTGCCAGATGGGCTATTAGGAAAATGTGTATACCATGTTACTGTTCTAAGTGTTTTTTAGTCGTCATCAGCGTGTGCGTCAGTGGCACAGTGGTTAGGACTCTCGCCGACCATGCACATGGTCCGAGGTTCGATCCCCTGCCAACGCACACCCGATATCTATGGTCGGCCTGGAAAATATTGGCTACCGATATCCATGCTGAAAATTCCATACTTCCACCAAAAATACGGTGTGGAATCAAGCTGTAATCAAAAATAAATTTAAAAAAATAGAAGTATGGTTGACGACGTGATGGATATAGCGCAGAGTTGGTAGCTGACTACAACTACTCCATTCATCTGTATGAACAGTTGCTTCAAGTATCACTTAGCGTTGTATTATAGTCAATAAGACATAAGCTTTGCGATTAGGGATCGCCTCAATGAATCCTTTGTAGAAGGTGGTGTCATATTTACCAACACCTACTGCTGATTAGCATTCAATCTACGATATTGGTGAAAGAGAAGTTTGCCCCCATCTTCCTTTTATCGAACGTAAAATAACTGTCGATAGACATTACAAGCATACTTTCACATCACACCACGCAGTGAAATAACTCCACCTTCCACACTCGTGTAAATCCATCGTAGTGCTAGTATAGTCTTGTGCTATGCTATCAGTCCTCTATCGAAGTGTTCCATTTCAATCTGAGATATACATGCAATGCTTTGATAAGTTAAATGCGGTTGATTCCTCTGTCTGTTCACCGCCTCAAAGGAAGTACTTGTGATTGTTTGAAAGAAAGGTGAGATGACGTCTTCACTAACTCACCAGATATTTGAAGGTGATATTCAGTAGTGATGAATCCTGTTCCATATTGGCGAACACCGTAATTACAACATGAAGAACTGATTTCATCACTCTCCATACATACATCTATCTATGCAGATTCGGCAACAGTGGCTGAATTTCCAGTGTAACCTTTCACAGTTGTTAAGCAATCAATAATTAGACTCTTTCGAAATGTTTGTGTTATTTAAGAGGTTTGGTTTGATTGGAGAATCTTCTTTGTCCTTCTGAACATCTTCAGCCCAAGTTTTAGTATATAATGAACTGATTGAAATTTTCCGCGAATGACAGAATCGCGTCTCCTGGTAACCATCTTTGCATCTGTATTGATCAGGTTTCGCTGATTTGGATGTCTAAGTTTCTCGCCACATGGTTTGCTTTTTATTAGTTGGTAGATTTGGTGTATATTAACATGTTTCTTAGTCAATCACTCATTCACTTGAATACCAAGCTTCCAGGAATTCCCTGGCACTTTTGATGTTTCCTCTGTTTACAACTTCGACATTATCCCAATCAAACTGATGTCCATAATTATCTATATGAATTAATATAAAAAGAATATGTATATCAAGTCTTTTCACAGCTAATTTGTGTTCTTGTATTCTGGTTCGAAGGGGATGCCTACGTTGGCCGGTGTAATATCTGCTACATTTCATACAACTTATTTTATAAATGGTATTAATTTTATCTTCTTTTTTCTGTTGAAACTTTTGGTTTGCGCAATATCGAATTGAGGGATTTGACTGGTTTGTGTGTTATATCTATTGCAGACGGTTTCAGCATTCTGGCTGTTATTTCAGAGGTACTTTTTATGCATGATAGGATGAATTTCTTTGTAGTCTCTGATGATGCTGGTGTTGTAATCCCATTTAAACAATTTCTGATGGAATTTTGAGGGTGTCCATTCGTTTTGAAGACAGTTAGAAGGTATTTTCTTCCGTTCTTTTCAACACCGGAGAGCTACAGTGTGTTTGAACTCTTTTAAAAAATGTCTGCACACAGTTTCTTTTGTCGGAAAATGACTTATTGTTACTACAGTTGATTATTTTGTCTGTATGCGTTGATTTTCTATATACTTGTGTTTCTGAATTTCCTATGTCAGTCCTCCTGATTAAGACATCTAAAACTGGGATTTTGTTATCTAGTTCTTCTTCCCTCGTGGAGAATTCAATGTCTTCAAATTTGTTGTTTGCTAGTTTATGGGTATATTCCAAATCATTTCTTTTGATTACTACAAATGTATCAACAATGTAACGTACCCAGACTTTGGTTTAGTTATAAGTAGAGCTATTTATTCTAATCTTTGCATGACGCCTTTTATTATTAATCCTGATATGGGCGATGAACCCATTGATGTTCCTTTTACCTGTTCCCATATTTGAGTACTGAATCAAAAATATGCCGTAAGACATAATTCTATGAGTTCCATCCAATATAATAAACGTTTTAGTACTTCCCAGTGAATGAAAAACAAAACGACATTGTCGTTTTTACTGACGTTTCACTATTTAATGCTAATAGCTTTATCAAAGTTTATTAAACCAGAATTTACAAAATCTCAGCATATACATAACAAAGAGTAAAGAGGTGAGAAATTAGACTTAGGCCAAGTTAAAGGGACGTATTGAAAGTCAGAATAGTAATGAAGAACACTAAACCAAATAACAAAGGCAATAGTACGTCTGTTATGATATCAAAATAAAGTTTACTGACTTGATCATCGTTCGTCAGTCGGGGGTCATTTTTCGTTGTCAAGTTGGTCAACTGGTATAGACAACAAAACCAAGTGTAGATTGTTGGATTTTATCAGTGTGTAAAATTATACAAAAGCAGTGTGTGTTTACACAGTGAACTTGCTTATCACATTCGTATTGATTTAGTCACTTCATGGGGGAGGGAGGTGTTGTAACCAGGTCAAATTCTGTTTTAGTCCATTATTCCTATTCAGATAATTTGGATTCCATTTGACATGAAGTACTTCTGATATTAGACGTTCTTTGTGATTTCTGATGATTGTCAAAATCAATTTTGTGGCCTGATTCTATAGCTTGTAGACCTATGGCTGAGGATTTTTCAAGTTTTTCTAGTTCAACTGGATTTCTCAGTGGTCGAAGAGATGTTTTACGGTGTTCATTTCTTGTGATTTTGATTTCTCGAGGTGTTTGTCCGATGTAGATCGAATCACATTCCAAGCATTTAATTTTATAGACACAATTAGAGAATCTTTAGGGATTCAGACTTTTATATGGACAAGATTGCTCTGAAATGTGTCTGATGTTATGAAGAAAACTCTAATGTCGAGCTGATTGAGTACTCTTCTGATATCGTCTGACGTCTCTGCTCTATATGGAATAACGACTGTTGAGGTCCATGTTTTTGGAATGCGTTTTCGGCCATACTTAATGTCTGTGTTGATTTTGTTGATGAAGTTCCTTGTGTAGTTGTTTTGCTTGAGAGTTTCGGTAATGTTTGATATTTCTTCTTTTTCTTGCTCATCCGTTATCAGAGAGTGTGGTCGTCTAAGAAGACTTGAAACAACTGAAATCTTTGCGCTGAAGGGGTGTGATGATTTTAAGTCTAAATATTTATTGGAGTGGGCTTTGTTCCTGAATATGGATATACTAAAATGTTCGTTCTCCTTTCTCTTTACTAGGCAGTCTAGAAATGGTAGTTCATCGTCGTCTGTTTCTGCTTCCTATGTGAACTGGATTCTGGGAGATACACAGTTTATTTTTTCCAGGAATGAATTGTGTAGTCCAAGTTGAACAATGCACTTTTATGTTTGCATCACTATAGAGTAATTGTTGTATAGTTTCTGTTGCTAGTTTTGAACTAATTGCGAAATATAATGCTGTAACATCGAAGGACATCAATATTTCACTGACATACACCTGAATGTTTTAGATTTTCTTAAAAATTGGATTGGCGAATCGACAGAATGGTTAGGTATTTTAATTCCTCCAAAAGTTCTTTAGGTAGATTATATGCTGATGTTCCTGGCGGCGAAACGATTGGTAGTCGAAAGGGATCGTTTGCTTTTTAGTATAGTTTTGGTCTCCTGTAAAATTGAGGTAATATAGCCTCGGTTGATTTCATTCATCAATGATTGTGTTTGCTCGAATTCATCCTGATTTCGTTAGTTTATTTTAACGTTGTTTTCATTTTGTTACCTAATGTTTGTGTAGGGATTTTCGTCACTTGTCGATATCCATCACCATTTCTAAGCAAATCATCTGCTTTCTATTTCCTTTTGTCAGCTAGTAGAATGACCTAATCTTTATGTACACATATTGTTATTATTTCCTTTAATTCCTAGAGGAACATAGGGCTTCAGCCGCGCGTCTCCATTGCGTTCGGTTATCTCCAAGAGTTTTCACCTGGCTCCAAGTCTCCCCACACGTTTTCATCTCCTCTTCACATGACCTCCTCCAATTCACCCTTGGACGACCAACTCGCGGCTTCCCTTTCGGGTTCTATTCGATGGCTTGTCTAGTAATGTCATTTGATGGTTCCCTCATATATATATATATATATCTTATAATCATGGGTGTGAATATATAAAATAATGATAATACCATTATGAAATCCAATTAAAGTTAGGGTGTTTGTGATCATAACCATAGTTAAATGTCACTTCGCAAAACAATTAATGTCATATATACAACACCTGGTCGATAAAGATCACCCTATTTCAACGGCCTCTACATATAATATAATCTTAAAGGTGAAAAGTAATTTTCCCGAATTATACCTTCTGAGGTGATGACTTCAGTGATATGCATTTTATGATAGAGTAGAATTGTTTCCTTCCCTGAAATACATTCACTGCATTTCTCTCATTCTCTCTACAGCAACTCCCAATCCCCAATTCAATTTGTCTTCAATGAAATATGCTGTAAATATGACTACCAGTAATTTCTCCAAAGCATGCCTGCAAAACAAAGTTTGCACAGTGAAAATACTCTTGTGTTACATTGGTGACCAGTTGCAAGCTGAGTGGAGACATTGTTACAATCAAGAGGAAATGCAGGTGCTACAGGCTGCGTATGGTTATTTGGACAGCGTGAGACAAATACCGATGGAATTCGATCTGGAGGAATTCAGCAGTTTAGCTTAATTCCAGTGTCATAGAGTTGTCCTGCGTTAAATCCTGCATATATCTCCGGCTTCTCTTTGTAAATTCCTTTCATTCACCGATATTGCATGTTGACTACGTTTTGATATTCTGTTCACAGATTGTTTGTCTCACACCTGTACTCATAATAATCAAACGAGTGATTGGATGTAGTGGAGAAGAGTCATTTATTTAACTTTATGCATAATTCTAGTGTGATGATGTAATCAAATAACAAATACTTATTGCTCTGTATATTCTAACATTTCTCCTGCTTATTGTCACATGCACTCATTTTGTAACCAGTCATTGCATTACAGGATGTTTTCCACCTTTGTTTCTGTACACTGACTGAAATATACTCATAGTTGTGATTTTGTCTTCCATCCTGATATCAACTGTTCATAATAATTTGTGTTATTTTCACTACCAGTGCAGTAGAAGTGTGTTTCGATGTCGTTCGTCCTTTCAACTACTTATTGTATGATGCCCAAGTAGATAGCCGAATGTAAGAAACCAATATTGTAAACATGACACACTAGTCAAACTTCGTCGTTGTCGTACATTCCGATGATCCTCGTTTCATTATTGCATGATACTTGTCAACAGGAGACAGTAAATGCACCACGTTTCAACTTGAACGTTGTGTCTAATAAGTGATTTCAGATGGTGGTGAGACAGTTTGCACACGTGACACTTCTTTCTGGACACAAAATCTCATCACGTCTCCCTCGTCAAACACTGTTCAGTTAGTCGACACTCTGAGTATGCAGCTTTCACGTGATTTACACACCGCATTTTGCACTGAACAGAGGTGATATTTTGAGGTGGTTGTGATTAGATAGCCTCATATGAATCAGTTCTATGATGCGTCATGCATGAATATATGTCACTTTGTGGACACAGGAAAGACGATCAGGGAACGATGAACAACATACCTGAACAACAAAGTATCTGAGGAAGCAGCGTGAATCCGTGAGGAAAACATCGTACACCACCGACTGATCCAGCTATCTGTAGGCTTACTTAAGTGTTATTTCTCTTTGTGCATTTTAAATTCAGATAGATTATCGCTGGCTTCGGCTTTGTACCTCTAAGCTACCCAAATGACATTTACTAACATCATGGATTAATAATGACATGAATTGTATCTGAAAACACTTACCTCAGAAATATCTATCCTACGAGATCCTTCTGACTGAGTGAAGGTTTGTGTGTCATCAGTGGAATTCTCCACTGAGAAATGCATCACAAAAGTTTGACTATCTCGAACGCCTCATTCACGGAGACTATTAACAAATCACCACGCATTAGAGAGTCTTGATACTCGAGGAGGAATACACCCAACTTGCAAAACACGTGTCCTATTGAAAGCAACGTCATTCAATTGACCTGGACATTTGCATATGTGCCTATACGACTCTTGGATGGAAGATATGGGTGATGAACTCCGTCGAAGTGATTAAATTGATCTGTTGGGCTTGCATGTTTTCATTCAAAACGATTGAAATTTGCTTAGGGAAGAAGAAGACACTATTCTCCAATTAAATAGAGACCAGAAGTGAGGACACAGTTCTGTGAGGATACACTGACGTGATAATGATCTGGAATTGTTCAAATTCCACAGCTGAAAATATGGCAGTGGTGTAGCGGTTTAGGTTACTGACTGGACACTTTACACTGCTCACTGTCTTCTCCTTCTTCTCTCTGAATTCTTCATTGGTTTTTTGGAGGCTGTTCTAGTCAAAGATAAGAGAAAGTTAAAGTAATATGATATGCAGACCAATGGTTTGTCAGGATAATGAAGTGGTCTGTAGTCTCGTGAACAGCTAGACAGACAATCAATGGATTGTAGTTCCTTACACCTACGTCACTGGCCCATGCACATACTGTTTGTCCCTTTGTTCCTCACATAAACTGTTCCTTCCTTTGTTGGAATACTTTGCGTTCCACCGCGTTGTGTATTCTAGCTTAAGTGGTGAGTCAGGAATCAGGTAGCTGTTTTAAACGTTGTTGTTTTTGTAGACAGACGACATACGCAATCACCAATTCTGCACTAGATCGTGCTTCCCTAGTTAACTCAATCCGATATCGGCCAAATGCATGAGTACGTAACACTTCTCCCCCGAAAATGGAGATGAAGAAGCAGAAAATATTAGTGGGTCTTTGCTCACGCAGCAGTTCGGAACCACATCGACCGAGATCTTCTGTGAATAGGATGTCTACTGAGCAAAAGACATCACACCCATCGATTTCTTTTCACGTTAACTGCAAGTAGCTTGAAGATTCAAGTACGGCTCTCAGAATGTCTCACTATCTGATTACGTGACTTGACGACTTTAGAAGTGGATGTTGTGTCAAGTCCATGTTTCATATTCCACTCACACCTCGTACATCATATTTCCACACTAAACATTCAACTCACCTTCCAATGTTTCTTCCTTCCCTGTCCGATATTCGCGAGTGTATACTGCGTCACTCTGTTGGAAATTAATTATGGTATCATAATGACTGACTACACAGTATGTACGCACAATCGTATCATCCTATGAACAACTTATCGTCATGGATTCATATTTCAGTAGGCATTTGTAAATTTTTGTTTAATAAATTTCGGCCTGATTGGATTTAATGTAAAACAATATTGTTCGCTTAGATATATATTTTCTAAGTCTCACTATGGGACTGTGGACTATTCATTACTGTGCCACAGTATCATAACGATGTGTCAAACTTTGCCTAATTACTGGTGTATATTGGAATTCCATATCGTCGAATATACCTCGATATCATACACGACAATGTAAATATACTTCAGATGTTATACGCCAGTTAAGAATATACAGTATACATATATATATCTCAGTATAACTATGAGAAAACAAAACAAGCAGGTCAAGTACACGTTGATATCTGCCGATACAGTGAATCCGTCACATTCTCAATTAATAAGTAAATTCCTTCTGTTGTAGTTATGTGAGCATTATTATTTCTCTTACGGATATATTGTGCTTTCTGCTTCTATATAATTAGGTATCAGCTAGATTTTCAGTCTAACTAATCAATGAATTTTATTCCTCCTTTGGCATTATAGGTGGTTACCACGTTTCGTCTTCTCTTCGTCTACAGCTTCAGCGTCTACACATTCGTGAACAGTGATGATATATCTCTGGTTGAAGTATCTATAAGTTTCGGCAAGTTAAATTTACAGAATATATTCCAAAGTGGCTGTAACATCAAATAAAATCGCCAGATGCAACTGATCCTGGAAATTGATATTCGACTTCATCTATCACGAAGCAGTTTATGTAGACAGATCTTAAGTATCATTTCAGCAATGCTTTTATGCCCACATATAAAACAAGGTTAGGTCACATACTCAAATTCGTTTAAATCTGGGCCATAAAAAGACTTAAACCTGTCTTAAGTGTCCAAAAGTTATTTGTTATTACTTTAAACATACCTTGGTAGTCAATTTTACAACCAAGGATCAATTTCCTTTATAGTGTTTTCAACCCCTTATTTGCTTTGGTCTCGCTTTCTTTCCCACCACTTCGCATCATCTTCTTAACTATTATTTTTGCTTTGACCTCTACACAATCTGACCCGTGTTGTCATCATTCATGCCTTCTTGCCTTCAATAAAATTGTGTACGACAAGTACGTGTGTGAGCAGAATGTCCGAAATGTGTTGCTTAAATACATTACACATCGAAATTCATAAACGGAACTAAATTGCTTTAAATGGCAGCTCGCCTACTGAGGAATCAAAACAAAATATCAGATCCTGTTCAGACTTAATGGTGTCTTAACTACTAAGCCTTAAAATTACTTTGTTTCAACAAAGAAATCGCACTAGAAATCAACTAATGAACTCATCATTACAACAAACATTTATCGCAAATTATTATTGTTCCCTTGGGTTGCTAGTGGAACACAGGGCTTCAACTGTACGTCTCCACTCGCTTCTGTCTTCCTTCTGCTGTACTTTTCACTTGCATCCATGTCAATCCATACTGTTTCAACTCTTCTTCACACGATCTCTTCCATGTCATTCTTGCACTGACGTCCCACTGACCACTTCCCATTGGGTTCCACTCGAGCAATGGCCCGACGCGCGCGTGATGTCACCCAGCGGCCTTCTCAGCGAGTGTCCAATCCATCCATCTCCACTTTCTTTAGTGTATTTGTTGGTTGGAGATTGGTTCTTGTTTTGTCTGTTCCCACCCATAGTTTCTTGTTGGTGATTCTTTCCGGCCCTGCCCTCTGATCTTCAGTATAGAGCAGTTGTTGACAAAGGTCTGCAACGGCCTGTTGGAAATATTCTTTGTTTCTGATCCGTATAGAAGAACTCACTTGACGTTTGTATTGAAAATCCGACCGAATTTTGTTGTTGATGTTGGTTGAGTGACGAAGATTTCCAGATTGGTTTAGGTTGATGAATGTGTTTCTCGCCTTCCCGATTCTCGCTCGATTTGACATCTACGTCCGTTCCGACTGCCTGTAGTTGAGACAATCCTCCCTAGATAAGTGAATGAAGTCACCTCTTTCAAATCCCTCCCGTTGATGGTGATTGACGCTGGATGTTGCTGCTGTCGTTGTTGTTTAGTTATTTTCATAAACATTATTGCAAATAACCGACAGTAACACTAGACAAATATCCTTCCGGAATATGATCTCAGTGCTCAGTAAATCAAGCTACCCATTTTCATAAATCCGACGTCCTGTGCAGCTTAATGAGTACTTATCATACCTCATGCAAGTTCGTCGGTGGCAGGGCAGTAGAATACTCACTAACCACACATGTGGTCCGGGGTGTGACTCCCGACCGACGTACTCCTTTACCTGGCTAAGTCAGTAATTAGACTGATAAACAGGGAAGGTTTGGCATGAGGCTAGCAACCCCACCCCGTAAAAAATTAATCACCACTGCTACAGAAACTTCAGGCCTCTAGCTTGAAGCCCTATGTTCCACTGGGGTCGTAAAGGAATAAATAAAATGCCTCATGCAAGATACTGCAATTGTAGCGACTGAATCCACAGTTTTCACTTTTCTCCTGATATATAACGTGGTGTGATCACTGCCATTTAAGTTTTGCACGCTACACTAATTGGTATTTCTTTGGAATGCTTCATTCACTACGTACTGAACCTCCAGTCATGTATCCGGTTTAGTAGAGACTTACAATGCTTGTTAATTCGTCAAGACTACCTGCTCTCTTGTTTAGGAGAGCTTGGTTTTCAGTGAGTAGACAACAATACTGACAACTCGTCCAGCTAACATTTTCAAACACTTTCATCAGGGACATCCCTGTATTCAGTGCATGAAGTCTGTCTCTCGGAATTATTTATATTAACTTATCACAGGTAGACGC